GCAAGTCGAGCCACCCGCGCCGCTTACAAAGTCCGAGATATTGTGTCCATATAACAGCTTCAACCATTCAGTCGATCAGCAACATATTTTCCACATCCATTGATGCGCGGTGGGATAGCCAAATGGTCGATTCAGTGGTGATACAGTCGTTTCTCAGCATTGAAATCAAATACAGATTGAAGCTCATAATCACAATGTTGTATAATTAACTTTCTCACATCGTGACGAATGACTCGCTGGGTGCACATGTTCAGTCCGCCTTACAGGGGTAAGGCTTTGAGAGTCAGAGTTCAGTCAAGTCAAAAGCCAATTCCCCAAGCTAAGGTTCGCGGTGATTAGCCACAGGACAATGGCCCCCACAAGTGAGAATGAAGCTCATTTCCTACATGCGATGAACTCGGGAACCGGCGAACAGTGAGAAATCTTAATTGATGAAACCATCTCTGTGTTCGTGCCATCTGGTTGGGACTCGGCATTTTCGGGTGTTATTCGTCAACCGTGCAACCGTTCGTATTCTGTCCCAGTGCTTTAGGTGAACTTGTATTTAGGCCGTGATCATCGCTTCCCGTCTGTCTGCTCTGTCCTGCTCTCACCAACCCACTCTGTCACTCTTTCACAAGCCTGCCTACCACTTTGACTTTCTAAGTCTGTCCATTCTTTCTAACACGAATAATCACCAATAATCTCTTACCTAATCAACTTCAACCGCCAAAATGCAGTTCTCCATCTTCACCGTCATCGCCGCTGCTGCCAGCTTCGCTGCTGCTCTTCCCGTAAGTAACCTGCCGAGCGAGTCTCGACTTGAAAAGACACCAGCGCTAACACAACCTCCTAGACTGCCACCTCCACCACCGCTGCCGCCGCTCCCTCCGCCACCTGCGGCAAGCTCGGCAACTTCCACAAGACCACCGTCAAGGCCGGCCAGACCTTGACCATCATCGCCCAGCGCTACAACTCTGGTATCTGCGACATCGCGTGGCAGAACAAGCTGGCCGACCCCAACGTCATCTACGCTGGCCAGGTCCTCCTCGTCCCCGTCGACGTCTGCGTGCCCGACAACACCTCCTGCATTAAGCCTTCCGGCACCGCTACCTGCGTCACTGGCGGCGCTGCCACCTACACCATCAAGTCTGGTGACACCTTCTTCGTTGTCGCCCAGAGCCTCGGCATCACCACCGACTCCCTGACTGGTGCCAACCCCGGTGTCGTTCCCGAGAGCCTCCAGGTCGGCCAGGTCATCAACGTCCCCGTCTGCTAAATGCTCCGCGGACGTTCGACAAGGACCTCACGAACTACATGTTTACCTGAGAAGTGAGCAATAGTGAGGCTAGAAAATATCAATACACAAAGCGATTCTTGGCACGTTTTTGGTCTTGCTTGACGTGCTCAGTGACGTGAGTTCCTGTTGTAAAAGCCTATTCAAAACGAATAAGTCACTGTAGTGATTTCATCCTGTCTTGGATAGGAAAAGGCTAGATTACCAACACAGAAAAGGACAATCTATGGCAGTAATTCCATCTCAAATGCTTGACATATTCGTGAAGAAAAATTCCCGCGTACGCGACAAATTACTCAATTCGCTTTTGATCTGAGGCCTCCCTTCTCGTCTCGATTTCATGCTTCGTATAGCGCATCATCTGGGAAGATTCCACCATGTGCTTTGTTCATGTGATCATAGCAAGGCTTCGAATCATTGAAAGCCTCCAGACAAACCCAGCAGATGTGTGCTTTGCAAGCGCTGCAAGTCATGTGGTTGCAGCCGTCCGACTTTTGAATCGAAGTTTTGCATCTAGGACAATCTTTTATTCCTAGCTTCTTCTTGACTTTGTCGAACTTCCTATCAGCATCTGCCGCTGCTCCTGATGTGACGTATCTGTGTTCGGTACAGGTCTTGCCGCGGTGGTCGACGTTACATGATGCGCAAATGGTCTTTGAGCACCCTCGGCAGCTGAAGACTTTTGGCGGTCCTTGCAATGTCGGTCTGTATATGGCTTGGCAGTCTGGGGTTGGACACCAGCGAAACTCATCCGGGCGACTTTTGACATGACTCGTCACCGCGGAAGCAAGAAGCTCTTCGAAGGTGACCGATGACAGGGAGTCTTGAAGCTCCTGGAGTGAGAACAAGGCATTACAAGCGTCCTCGTCGGCCAGACAGCGGATGCCCGATTCTCCGTTACCAACGGTCGATTGGCAGAAGTTTTCGAAACAGTCACGGCAGTACACATGTCCACATTTGACTTTCAGTGGGGTCTCAGCCGTTGTCCAACAAACCGGACAGCATTCCTCTGCTACTGCGGTTGTCTCATGCTCCTGAGGTAAACGTCCCTTGGCCAAGATATCCATAGCCGTGTCAAAAGAAGCTCGCGGACCGATGATCTCCAATCTTTTGGGTGTCTCAAGAATGTTGAGGGATACAGCTTCCTCACCCAGGATTTCGCAGATAGCCTTGAATCCTCCCCTGATGGCCCAGTGCAGACTCTCAGAGGTCAACGGTACATAGTGGATTGTGGAAGGGTTGTCGCTGAAAGACTGTAGCAATGCATCGCAAGCTCTCTGCGAGGCTTCGAGCGAGCCGAAGACGTGGATCTCGGCTTTGGACGGAGCGCACTGAAACGCCACTTTATGCTGCCCCTCGATGGGTCGAAGCCGTCGATTCGCCAGTGATTTATTATTGAAAGATGGACTCCAGAGGGGCTTCTTGCCTCCAGCATCGTATACTAAGCGTCCTTCGAGTAGCTTGTCTATGTGAGTCTCAGCTACCGCGAGATCAACTCCCCTTTCACTCTCGAGTCTCAGTGTGACGTAGCCATTTGCCGGTGGAAATCTTTTGAAGTTGACTCTTATCGAGCGGAAAGTCTGAGCAGTTTTCTCGAAGTCTAGAAGAACCGCGCTGAAGATGTGATCCGCGATCTTGTAGGTTGCAGAATGAACTCTACTGATGCTGAGTCTGTCGTCCTTGTTGAATGGCAAGGGCTTAGAGTTAAGCAACCTAACCGCAGTCATAGCATCTGCCTCGTCCGAGAAACGAGCCATCGCCTTGACTCGTTTGCCAACGGAGTCTGCATCCGCTTTGAGTCTCGTCTCCAATGGTCCAATGCCCACGAGTAGAGCTTCAACCAAGTCGACCTCGCTCTTGGTATTGTCCAGGTCCTGCAGTCCCTCAAGTTTTACACTTGTGGGTCGCTGTCTCTGAGGAATCATGCTGAGAATGTCGTCCTTCGTAGCTTGTGGTGGAACGTATAGTCTCAACTTCGGTGACGAATTGGCTGAATATGGCACTCCCAAGTTGCTCCCCTGTCGGTGATGTAGCGCGTTCGACCTTGGTGCATAAGAAACCTTCGCTCCCAGCACAGTAAATATTCCAATTCCAAATTTACTGCGGACTTCACTCTCTGCAGACTCGGAACCAAAGGTCAAGCAAGCCAGTTGCTTTGGTTTGTGCCAGGAGCAGATGACTTTCTTGCGATTTACCCTGTGGGTGAACCCCTTGTTTGTATAAAGATTGAGAGGTTTGTGCACTTCGACCTTCAATCCTGGTATTCCAGATATTTCTTCGATCTTAGGATTCTTGAACTTTTCGTAGAGTGATTGTGCAAAGTCAGGGTCTTCTGCCCGGATGATAGCACACATCAAGCCCCCTATGCCTTGAGGTCTTGCGCGAATGGCGAGACTTGGAATGTCGAACCCCAATCGACTCAGGAGTCGTGATACTGCTGCAACATCGCTTTGAGCGGGTAGGTTGAGAATGCTGGCGGAAGAAAAGTCGGAGAAGAGCGATAGCTTCTCGACAGATGCGCCTGGGCCAAAGTTTACCCAGGCACCTAGTAGCTCACGTGTGCACTTCTCTTGCGGTTCGGGCAGCTAGAAGCAGGAAGTCAGCACCCATCTTCGGTCGCTTGATGAGTCTAAGGTTCCACATACCGCAACTTCACTTGCTGCTGATGCTGCTTCTCTTGGGACATTATCGTGAGAAAATGCGCACTTGACGCCACTTCTACAATTTCCCTTTGCAAAGAAGACGCAGGGGATCTTGGAGCGGGAGTCTTCCGCTACTGATCCAGTGGGCTCCACGCCTCTCAGCGCAGACTCGTGAGATGGGCCAGACGGCACGGTTTGATAGATGTGATGGAAGGCGCATTCATCGCCTCTGGAGCAGAAGCCCTTTGCAAAGAACTTGCAGATCACTGGCGATAGGACCGCATCGGCCTTTCCGGATGCAGGCGACTTTCTGGGCCCTTCATGGACGAATGGGCAGTCAGACCCTGAGCGGCAACATCCTTTGAGATCAAACCGGCATCTTGCTGCTGATGGTGGTGCCGTCGCTCGCTTTCTGACTTCCAACCAACTTGCCATGGTTAAAATTGCTCAGATCATGAATGGCTGCTAGAGTGGGCTGGAGGGAGGTTCAATTGCTGGACGACTGGCCGATGTAGGGTGTTTCTTCTAAGCCACAACGGAGCGGTGAAATTTGGGGGATGAAATGTTCTGAGCGAGAAGTGTGAAAGAGATATATGTAGTAAACAGCAGACACCTCCTCGGAATGGTTGAAGAGGGGTAACCTCACGACAGCCAGTGAAAGAGCCAGATGAAAATGTCAGCGCAGCCTTGATGCTGCAGCAAGGTAATTGCGGGAGGCCAACCACGCTATTAGAGTTCGACAAATCATGTGTGGCTACACTCTCTTGCTGTACGGTTAGACACAACATGGTATCGCCAAGATAGCTGCAGTCATCAAATCCGTCTTCAATTCTGCAGTTGACGATGGTCGTGAAGGATATGAGTATTGCTGCGATATGGTGCCCGCCCAGAGTACTATCCAGATCTTCTTCGACCCAAACAACTCTTTTTTTTTTTTTCTTTTTTTTTTTTTTTCAAAATTACGGATTTTACAAAAGGGACCACGGAAGAAAATTATTCAAATTGATATTCTCAGATGGAATTACTTTTGCCAGCTCGTAGGGTGGGAATTTATGTTGCCTTCCGAGACGATCATCAATCCATTAGGACTTTGAAGCAGACCGAAGAAAGTGTTCTATGATCAGCTCAATATCGACATGCCCATACCTTTCTTCCTCAATAATTACGTCCGAGCGTCTCAACGCGTATGCAATCTCTGCTCTCGGTATGCCGAAGACTTCGATAAACTTGTGAACCATTGAAGTCCTAGTAGAGTACCAATCCTTGTGAAATGGTCCAATCAAGCGTGCAGTGGCTCCATGATTGTATTCGTGCTCGATCCAAGCGATGTATATAGCCAAAGCATCTCTGAATGCGCTTGTAGGGTCCGGCCAATCTGCGGCTACCACAGTGATGTGGTAGAAGCAATCGCGTTTGTAATCTACTTGGTGGCCATGCTGTTCGATAAACATGAGTGTTGGTAAACAATGGCACATTGGGGTAGATTTCCATCATACCTTGGCTTCCTCCTTCCCTTTCACACATTTCTTGTCTGATCTGCTTTCCTGCTCAACCAGTCTGTCAAGTCTGCTCTTCATCTGATTGAACCAGTCGTTGAGCAAGTGCTCAAAGTCTTTGGCACTTAGATCTTCCATTTCATTTTCCAGAATGTCAAGGAATTCTGATTCTTCGTCGAGTATAGCGTCGATTTCTTCATCCTGTAGATGGAGTGGTCGAGATGAATCAATGAAGCCATAGTGGCCATCCGCTGGATGACGCTGGAAGCAAAGATGGGACATTCCAAGCTCCTCATGCTGCTCCCACCGAAGGAAAGAGAGCAGCAAGTCTTTGCCTTCTTGCACTCCTCTGTATTCCAATACGAGACATAAAAGCTCCATTGCCGCGATTGGAGATTTGCCCCAGGTTCTTTGCCACCAAAAGCTGGAAGAACTCAGCAAGTCAACAGCCGAGAGTCGGCCAGGAGATGAGCAGGGGCATCTGCAGCCATCTTTGGTGAAGACACTCGCGTCGTGGGCTAGTAGTATTCGCACAGTCTCCATAGCGGTCCAGAAGCCGTGCCTTTTGCTGTTTTGCACCTGAACAAGAGCGAAGTGTAGTGCCGTTCGATGATGTAGATCTTTGAGGTTGATGTCAGCTCCAACTTCAGCCAGCTTTTTGACCAAGTCAGGTTTACTGAACTTAGCGGCGATCATCAGAGGAGTTTGGCCCATGCTGTTCATGTGATTGAATAGCTTAAAACCATTCTGCAGTAAAGTTTCGAGATCAGTGACGCTGGTGTCATAATGTAGGAGACAATTATTTTTAGTTCCTGAAGTCGTATCATCGAAAGTGAAGTTGGCCGTACTACACTTCATCAAGAGTTGATGAAGAGAAATTTCGCGTTTTTCATACTTGTTAGGGTACGAAACATGGTACAATAAGACTGCGTCTGCCGCCCAACTCTCGATAATTCTTGTATCGGCGACGTCCTCCAGTCGAACAAGGAATTTGAAGATCAGCATCCAATGATGACGGACGGCGGCGAAGTGTAGGAAATTGCGATACTCGGTGTCGACTGCTTCGATGTCGGCTCCTGCTTCAATAAGCAGGGCGACGGACTCTTCTTGATTTTCCGCAGCAGCGTACATTAGAGGTGTGATGCCATGGATGTCAGTCATGTTGACGTCATGTCCCGACTTGATGAGTGCTTTCAAGGTGTGAGGGTCCAAAACAGCCAGGTGAAGGGGTGTCTGCCCGAGGCTATTCTTCTCATCTTTTTTGGACTTAGAGATCCACTTGGCTACTGTTTGCGTCGACCCAAGTAGAACAGCTTCATGGAGGGGTGTCATTCCAGCGAATCCTACGTATCATATGTTAGGACCCATCGAACGTCATTGTTCTTTCCTCTCCTCAGAGAATCTAAGTAAGCTGGTTTTTGAGCTTACCTTGGTTGTATTCGCACACAATTTGGAAGTATTCGATGAAGAATGGGTCAGGAACATGTCCTTCTGAAATCCAGTTTGGTGATGATAGTGCCGGCCAGTCTTGGAAATCCCCAACAACTCCAGAGATGTCGTAACCCAGATCGAGAAGAATTTCTAACAAGTCCAAGTGGGGGCCTTCGCCAATCCACTTCGCGCATCGCACAAGAAATCTGTAATGACGAATCATTGATTTTAGCCATTTCTCCTGCTCCCAGTCTGTGAGTTTTACTCACGCTGCACTGTCAGTCCCCTTCTCCATTCCAAATTCTTGCATGAAGAGTCTTAGTAGTTTCCATTGAGTCTGGTGTGTTCCCATCGCCCACGGGTACCTCAGAACCTCCTATCGCCATCATTTGTCAGGATATGGCCGTAACTTAGGTTCTGGAAAACCTACCTCGATATAAGATTTCCCACCTGGATTCACATGGCGTCTGAAACCTTGCGGGTCTGCTCTGTAGAGCTGTCTCAGACTTTCACTAGCCTCTTCGAATCCAATGCTGTAAGTCTCGCACCTCCATATAATCTCGAAACCTGGAGACGTGTACGGCACGATTTGCTCCACTTCGAGGTTCGGACGAAACGAGAACCTGCCCGCGGATGTGATAGCATAAACCTCAAGCATTGCTGCCCATCTAATGCCAAACTGCGAGAACGCAAGCCTCACTGAAGCTCCGTATTTTGTCGTGTTGCAGGTCTCCAGGTCGCAGCTCTGCTGGAAAGTCCCCCAAGGGGTATACTCTAGAGCCCAGAATCGATGTGTTGTCCTGTTCGTGCGGTGGCAAGCACAAGAGCATGGTCTCAAGAGACAATTTCCCTTAGGTCTGGCTCTCAATCTCTCTCTTCTTGGCACTCTGCTAACGGAGGCGGTTGGAGATTGGGATAGGTCTGAAGCAGTCGCTAGAACCAGCTCTGAGGCCCGCTCTTGGGTAGGTTTCGCTGTCGATGGCAGAGTTTGAAGGTGACTGACTAGGGTTAACTCTTTCAGCTCGTTCGAGTTTCTGTGCGTCGTGATCCTGATAGTCACACTCTGTTAGATGATTGAAAGGCAGCAGAAGCCTCTTCAAACGATTATGATACGCACAGGATTAGATTGATCTTCGCCCCCCTAATACTTCGCTGCAAAGCTACCACATTTTCTTTCCAATCTTGGAAAGCAAGGAACTTGCGCGCGTTGTTCTTTGCAGTGCTTTTTGATGTTGGAGGTATCTTCGCGATCAGAGACTTCAAATCCCGAACAACTTGGTCGCAATCCGCTTGACAATGTTGAACCACAGAATCATTGCGATTAGAAGCATGCGCAATTATATCCTGCATAACATATGTTAAGAGATCCAGTTCTCGGATAAGGGTGCTGATATCGGTCGCAGCCTTGCCCGCATTGTCGTGGATAGCTCGCAATTTGCTGGCGCCCTCACCAATCTGTGCCATGAGGGACACAAAACCAGCCACTCCAGCGGCAACTCCAAAGAATTCAGCCATGCCCTGAGACGACACGCAGGAGAAAAGAAGATAAATTTTCGAGGGAATGCCAACGAGAGGGAGGATCTTGCTATAGGAAGATTGACGAAATTTTGTGGGAAGGACGAGGGGTAAAGTCAGGCTCTGCGGCAGTCTGCCTCTGGGTTCGCCTTGTGTGCTGCGCCTTCATGGGACCAACCTGATGGAGGTTTCCAAGCCAATCGCATGGCCATCATGCTTCGGCACTTCTAATTAACATGAAGTGACCAGGCGATGACAAATATTTGTGAATGATTGGCTGGAAGCTCTTGGAGTACCTCAACATATCTCGAAAGCCCAGTGAGAGCACATGGGGGCTTCCATTGGCTCCTATTCGAGTGCAGTCACGACAGCAGGCAGCCATTTGGAACATCGACGTTCCAAACAAGGGCAATTTCAGTGGAATCGTTTGCGAAAGTCAACATCGTGATCCTAGACTTCTCATCTTTTTTACGCTCGTTTCTTTTTTTTTTCCTCTTAAACATCGAGGAAAAGAGGCAATCTCAGCATTCAAGAGTGGCGATGTTCTGTAATGATAGTCTATTCGTGTGCCTCCATGATATATTTAACCGTTTCACTTTGACCGATTCGTAGATCTGTCACTCACTCGTCGACCTTGGAGGTCGTAGACCCCGCCGTTGAACCATCGCGAGGCCTGGTCTCTTTGGCAGGTGGCTGGATCACGCCCACAACCGGGCGGTCCCCGATTCGCACGATCCTCAAGTTTCAAACCCTCTTCGCGAGGACTCATTGCTGCTCGCGTCAGAAGTTGTGTGGGAGACGCAAAGGCAACACTAGGGGCCTAAGCAAGGTTGATTAGCACGATTTGGACGGATCACGGCGGTGAATTATTTGCAGTAGGTAGCTCATAAAGGACCCATACCAGTGCTGCCAGGGCGAATGCTGAATTCCTAGGAAGACTCAGTACCACGGCTCCGACGCTTCCAAGAGCGATCGTGCTAGCAAGTAGTAGGGCTTGAAGCCGCATTGTTGCCTTGCTTCAATTTCGTGTATCGGATAGGTTTGTCAAATTTGCGTCAAGTGACGGTCAACTGAAAACTGGTGGGAATATGGAGATGGGAACGTTCGGATACGACTTCTAAACCAAGGCAGGGGCACTCTAAGTCTTATGTAGACCATTCTCCAGAGTCCAAGTCAGTGATGCCGATGACCTCTTCATGTTTCTAAAGAACCTCGCCCAACTTACTCGCGATATCTCAGAGGCCCAGATACAGTGGTTCTAACCAAAGGGTATCGTTCGCATGTACGTTCGATTAAACTTTCCCTTAGCGCGCGTTGATTCGGTAGTTGTTGCTCTTCAGGCCTCAGCCACGGTCTCTTCGCTCGAGTGCACTGTCCACTCAGCGCCTTTAGAGCTTCCGTTGAAGCTTAAATCATAAAACATACAGAGTCAGAAACGCTAGCGCCCACCAGGATGAAACCAGACTACGGAAATATTCTAGTTTTGCCTTGACTCAACATATCGCCGTAACGATATTTGGAGAGGAATCAGCTGAGAGACACGTAACAGGTGCTTGGCACCTAGGACAAGGCATCGATCGCTGCAGGTATTGCGAGCGTACCCGAGATCTCAGCATCGGCGTCGGTAACTTCACTCGGGCGTAGATAGCTGCCGAAGCCGCGATCATTGTATCATTGGGCTCGATAATAATTCATTAGCTGCTCAGACGACTGTGTTGGCTTTGAAAAGTTCATTCTTCCGTAGCGCTTGCCTGAGTATTGGGAGCTATATTTGCTCGCAAGACTACCTGTCGTTTTGGGACGTGATGACCATATTCCAGATCCGTAGTCAATCGGGGCATACCCACTATCGTTGCCTTCAAACCACCTACCCAATCTTCAGAATCGGCACAAGTTTCTTCTCGTACTCTCACTCCTACGCTGGAATGAAGTTCTCTAGTCCAGAGGTCGTCAGCGTCTCTCAACATCAGTTCCACTGGCTTTGTCCATGGCCTACTAATAAGACTTCTGTCTGAACCCATTTTGCCTCGAGATCTGCGAACTTCCTGATGATATGTTACCATAAACTTTGCCATCCACGTATGCTCGTCCAATTTGAACATCTAGCGGGATTGGGAAGTGTACAATTTCACTAGTCAACGACTCAAACCATTCGGAAAGTAGTAGCTTGCTTTGGAGCTTTCGCATGGATCTCACTGCAACCAGCACAGGCAGGATAGAATTTGTTACACCGAATCTCTCATTTATCCTGACTGCCATATCAAAGGATTCACACTTTTGCCTTCGTCCCGCTAACGAGTACAATAGACCTCTCAATCTCAAACGGCCCTCCGCCGTACTTTTTCCCCAAATACTCAACAATGACAGGCTTCAATTTGTGCCTTAACTTTTCCTTTTGCTCCTCAGACCAGTATCTCTCAACGGTACCCGTAAGCAGCGCCTGAAAAATAATACAAAATTGCTCAGGATCTCTGAAAGTGATAGGCTTGGCCAGAGTTTCCGAGTCAATCTCAGTCAGTCCCGAAGCATTATACATGGCAGCCGCGAAATAGGGATCATCCCATGCGCCAGGTGACCAAAGTCCGGTCAGATGGCATGACTTCTGCGGCCATGGCACCGGTTGCTGCCCGGGGACGCTAAGGTTTGCGACGGCATCGCGGGTATCGTAGACCCAACCTTCCGTTGCCCATGTAGAACTCGCGATACGGCCGCCTGGCTTGAGGACGCGGTACAGTTCTACTAATAAATCAGTGACAGGCCAGGGAACGATGTTTCTCCTTGACAGTGTTGTATCCTTTGACAGTAGACATTGGCGGCGCACATACCTGCTAGACCCGCATAGGGTTCAGCGACAACCATCAACGCCATGCCAACGACGATGAAGTCAAAGCTGTTCGACTCAAATGGTAAGCTCTGATGTAGTCAGTAAAGAATCCATTGTTACATCAACCATTCATGTACAAAGAGACTCTAAACTACCCATATTGGGAGGGAGCCTGTCACATACCGCCATATCCGCCTGGACCACCGTCGTATCCGTCCAGCCGTCCTTCCCAACTCGGCCCCTGACATGTTCAATCTGACCGCCACTAGAATCAGAGCAAGTCAATCTCACAAGCCCCTTCACACCTTGCCCTGTTGACTTCAGCATCTCCTGAATGCAGGCCGAGACAACGCCTGCACCGCAGCACATATCAAGCACCTCGATAGGCTCAGTGAGCGAAGCAAACTTATCCTCTGTCAGACCGCAATAATTCAGCAGCGGCTGCGTGATCGGAGCAGTGATGTACTCGGTGTTACGGTAGATGTTCCCGACCTTGGGGTTTCGCCAGAACGTGGTGTGGTTAGCCCTGTCTCCCGCGGGGCTCAGGGCCGCGGGGTTGAGGAAGAGTTTGGATTGGCCGGGTGTTCCCTTGCTTGAGTGAGTGTAGGATGCCATGCTGATGGCGCCCAATTTGATGCATCGGACTGCAGTCGGAATGAAATTCAGTTCGAGTGTCTTTGATACATGTACAGTGGCAAGTAGGAAAGCGCGCAAGCTCTCGTGATAAGACTGGTTCAAAGGGCAACATTTTATATAACAATTCGTCCGTGCCATTGAGCATTTTTATACATCATTCTGAGGTGTTCTACGGTACCGAGAGCGAAGCTGAAGGGTGATAACGCATTTGAGATGACTTTACATGTATAATGCAAACCCTACCGTTAGAGACAGACGATAGCCCCACTTTCCGAAACAAGACTGAAGACTGAAAAAGATAGGCGGAACCAAATCCTACCCACAAAGGCGAAATTAGGTCTATTCCATCACGAAGCTAAAGTCCGACGGCCATGCGGCTCGTCAGATCTTGCTCCTGGTCGGGGAGGAATACTGATCCGGCCAGGATACCATTGGTAGCCCAGCGCGGCTTCGTGTGTGCAGATGCTGGGATGAGAATGGGCTGAGGTGACAATATCTTGAGTGCGTTTCCTCTTCCCCTCAACAACTTTCTCACATGGCAGTACTTATCGCTCCGGGTTGGATTCGCACTTAAACATTCCCTTCCACCCTCTCGGCAACTTCCTTTGATTACCGTCAAGCATGTGCTAGGCCTTAACTTCAATAAGCTATCGGGTTGTGAGAAGCAAGAGCCGAGAAGGCAACCAGCTCACTATGGGGGTAAGGTTTGTTGTTAAGCATGAGAGTTCAAGCTTAAGTGAGGTGGAGTGAAACCCCTGGTGGGATGCGAAAGTTGTTGGGGAGTCGAGGGGTGGGGGACTCTCAAGATCGGTGCGAGGCACTTGGACCCGTCCCGACGGCGTTTCTCTTCATATGAGGCCGCCGATTATCAAGACCCCGCTCCGTGGCCGGTGGTGCTGTGGAGCGTCCCCCGGGCACCATCGCGGATGGTTTCCGGTGAGTTTCAACCTTACTGCTCGTGGTAACGAGCGCGGACACCCCGCGGTGTGTGTCGTTCTTTTGAATATTGCTAAGGCCGGGCGCCAGTCACAGCTAGTTTCTCGGGATGACAAGCAAAGAGTTGATAGTATTCCCACAACAGGCTCCCCGGTATCCATGCTTGACTTGCTATATTGGCGTGATTGAAGACACGTATATGCACTGACCGAGGGAGTTAAGTGCTTCCCTGGACACACGAAAAATGTCTTTGATATCTCAGAGCTTTTAATGAGTAATCATCAGTAATACTTCCCGTTGCATGGCCCTGAAATGCCAGCTCAAAGTATGTCGGCAACTCAGCCTCTAGCGACACAAAACTAGTCCGATCAATAACCTGTGTTTTCCAGTCAAAAGAAGGGGCTGACGAGAGTCCCAGGTATTGTTGGGCTACATTTCCCGCCCTTTCCGATTCTCGCGGGAGCTATGCTTGGGAGGTACAAAGCTACGCGGGGTTTTCTCATACGAAAGCACTTCAGCAGGAGTTGAGACACCGTGAACTATAGTGAGTGAGCCCGCACATTTGTTGGAGGCTCGTTTGAGTTGGAGTACCATCTCTCTTGAATAAGGTAAAGTACTTATTATACTTATTAAACACGATGAGATATGAACAAAGACGACAAGTCTTGAAAATCCACGAGGCAATAAAATCTCAGCGATGAGTACGCGTTCTACCTATCGTAGGATGATGCGCGACTCGAGGATGAACCACGCACCCTGCCTACTTACTTGGTACTTAAGTCAAAGCACCCACTTTTGGGCACCCCCCCCTTTTGGGCACCCCAAAAAATCCCTCCCAGCCACTACATTAAAACCCTACCTATTATTTTAATTTAATATAATAATTATAAAAATCGTCTAAATATATTCCTTTTTAATATATATACTAACTAATAAGTAATAATATTATATACTAAAAATAAGCTTTAATAAGTACTTAATACTATTAAAAATAGTCTTTTTATTAAAAAGGCCTTAATTAAGTTCGGGGTTTTTAAAATAATACTTTAGGGTTAATAAAAAGGCTATTAAACGAGGGTAAGAGTATTTATAAAGCTTTAAAAGCTTTTTTTATAATAAAAAAACTAGCTAGTTTAATAAATTTAAATTTAGTATTACCTAAGTATTATACTAATTTATAAATAAGTTAGGGAATTTATTAAATAAGTTCTAAAATCTTAAGGGGATACTAAACTATTTAAAAAGAGATAAATTAACGTTTTTATTAAAAAGAATTTATTAATAAAAGTTTAAAAAAGTTATTTAATAAATTTATATTATATTAATAAAGCTATTATTAATATAATTAAATTATAGTTTAGATTATTTAATATATTAAAAATTAGCGGTATTAAATAGGTTAATAAGTATAATATAAATAAAACTAATATAATAGAGGGTAAAGGAGCTAATAAGCTAGTTTTAAGTATAATAAAGGCTATAGTAATATAAAAAAAAGAGCCTAGTTTATGTACTTAAGTAACGATTATTAAGTATATTTTTGTTAATAATAGAGCTATTAAACTACTAATTATTTATAAAAAAAAGTCGGTTTAATAGTAATAGTTCCC